TATATATATATATATATATATATACTTATACATAATCTATAATATCTAGTTTTCATTAATATAAAATTATTCTTGTATTCATAACACATAATCAAGTTCTTTTAAATAAATTATAAATCACATTGCTTATTTGAAATCAAGATGATATACAAAATAAATTGTTATACATGATGTTAATGAAATATATATTGTTCATATGATGTGAGATAACTAATTTCTTCTAACTCGTTAATTAATAAATAATAAGTCGATAAGTCTTGTTTAAAATAAATACGTAAAAATTGTCAATTTTTCCATATTTGACTAATTCAATACTTTATAAATAAATTATACTAAAATTGTACATCTCTTCAAGGAACTTTCAAGCATTTTCGGCAGTTGATTTGTAATCCTTTTATGATGTTTTAACAAATTTGAGAAAGGATCGAAAAATAAATTATTTTTAAACAATAATCATATCTATCTAGGCACAGGATCATCATTCATCATCTGAAGCAGACCCAATTCCATGCTTCCAATTTCTCGTTCTGGTATTTCATTAATACCTCGAAATTTTTGTATTCTATTCCATATAAAGTCCCTCGGTGGTCTTCGTAGTACGAACAAACCAAAAATAAGAACACCTTGAAGAGCGTTTACGAGATCGAAGGAGGACCAGTCAAAAGAATCTCCATTGATGTACCAGGATATTAATTCCATCGACCAATTGAGGCCCATCAAGAAAAAAATTAGCATGCAGACAAATGCGGTTTTCATTAAATATCGAAGAGTTCTTCGATCGTCTTGATCCGATGGTTCGTTTCTCCTAAGACGTCTCAAGTCAAGATCCCTTTGATATTTAGTCAATTTGATGAAAGTTAAAATAAAAAGAATCACGTTTCCAAAGAGAAGTAATCCAATTGGTATATAAAAGTATGGTATCGCTTTGTCTTCAGCTACAAATTCAAGAATAATAATTTTAAAAATTTTCATTTAACAATGATATGTTTTTAATATTTTACTGAATATTATTTTATCATTTATATGTATTTCAAGATTAATATCATTAATAATAATTCTGTGAAATTTTTTTTTATGGATATCGATAGAGGTTAAATTGAAATCAAAAGAATTTCTTGAAAATGTCATAAAAATAAGAACGACAACTAGAATCCTTATTATATCATTCAATAAATTATATATACATTTATTCAAAATGTTTCGTGTTAATCTGAAATGAAATTCAAATATTTAATTTACCTTTGAACGAACAACTTTCCTTGCCGAAATTCTTCACGTAAGTCGCAGGTATCATCGGATTAAGATCCATGATCATTGAGACGAGGATAAGTATCACCGAGGGACCCCAACACCATAAAGAATACCAAAAAAATAACGTTCTTGATTCCGTCCTTTTGCAGATTTCCCGACAGTATCCTCTGTTCCTACATTTACCGACGTAGAAACGCACTAATAACCACATTTCAATGCACATCGCGTTTAGCCAGAAGAAGCAGGCGATGAAAGAAAATTGGATAATGAATGCTGGAAAATTCAATCGCATTGTTGATCTTAAATTCTAAAAAACGACATTGAGCTTTGCTATATCATTCAACTTCATAATATTTCACTGGATTAATTACATTGTGTACGGTAACAATAGAATATAATTTCATTCATTTGAACTCGTTAAAGAATATATTATGACTTATATAACTAGAATTTATATAATGCGTGTTATTGTTTCTTTTCACTGTTTAGAATTTTTCATTTAAATAATAAGAAATTTAAGTTCAGATACAATTCTGTCGTAACAATATCTGATAATTTCAGATAAAGTACTTAAGAATTTTTTTTTCATGTAAGAAACTTTATCTATATTTAACGATTATATGACTTATTAGATATCAAATATATCATCTTACCTATATTTATACAAGTTTGGTTCGACAATTCTATATTCCATAATTGTATGATTACTAACATGACGAAAGCAAGAGCCAAACATCCGCAATAACGACACACTGTTTTTCCATATACGTCTCTCAACTCTGGTGTGATGGAATACGCAGTGATTGTAAGAATTAAGAATGGTATAGATATTAAAAGGCCACAAGCGTAGATCGTAATTCGAGAGTCTGCGCTTATTATTACGCGATCTAAAACAATTTCGTTAATGTTAATATGC